ATATATATATATATATGTATGTATATATATATATATATGTATATATATATATATGTATGTATATATATATGTATGTATATATATATATATATATATATATATATATATATATATATATATATATATATATATATATATATATATATATATATATATATATGTCATTGTTCAGGTGAGTCCATCCCTTCACATGAGTCCGTGTGGACAAATCTTGGTCATTGAATACTTGAGATCAATGGCATAGATTTCACCAACTGTGCACTTAACTTGCACTGTTTGCGATGCACAGTTGGCAAAATCTATTCCATTGATCTCAATCACTCAATGGCTCAGATCTGTCCACACGGATTCATAGGAAGTGGGTAGACTCATTTGATCATGAGTATATATATATATATATATATATATATATATATATATATATATATATATATATATATATATATATATATATATATATATATATATATATATATATATATATATATATGTATGTATGTATGTATGTATTTATGTATGTATGTATGTATGTGTGTGTGTGTGTGTGTGGGGGGGGGGGGGGGGGGGAATAATTCACGTGTGAAACATCTCCCAGGTGAAAAATGGGATGAGATATTAGTTGGTGATCTAATCTAGATCAATGGCTCAAACTAAAGGAAAATTTTTATACAAAAAATGCGCTTTCTAGCAACATGGATGCAAATGATCAAGTGTCTCGAAGTGACGCACCTTAAGCTGGAAAATAATGCATCTTAAGCTTTAAATATACGCACCTTAAGAATTAAACTGATGCACCTTAAACTAGATAGTGACGCACCTTACGCTATAAACATATACACCTTAAGCTATAAACTTACGCACCTTAAGTTTTAGACTTAAGCACCTTAAACTTTAAACTTAGACACCTAACGCTATAAACTTACGCACCTTAAGCTATAAACTTACGCACCTTAAACATTGAACTTACGCACCTTAAGTTGTGACCTTACACAAAATGACCCTAATGTCACCACTTTTTTTTTAATTGTTCTTCATTTTGGGCTATTAATTTTGGCAAGCAGGGACGGAGCCAAAGGGGGGGCAGGGGGGCAGCTGCCCCCCTCCCCACACCCCCACCCCCACCCCATATATAACCTTTGTATGTATATATGTATATATAGTACAAGTTTTAGTATTAGACTATTAGTATAAAGAAACAGATATATGTTAATAAGAAGTGAGTTAGATTAGTTGGTAAACCACATGTTTGGTTATAATGAAGGTTTAGGTTTCAAATCCTTTATTGGTAATTTCATAGTTTTTCTTTGTTCCTTTAATAGTTTTTATAATTTTAATACACACACATATATATAACATTCTTTTATATTAATAATGAGACGTGTAATTTATAATGTGTTCTCTATTCAAATTATTTTATTGAATTAATTATGTTTCAAATATTTTGTTATGAATATTTTTATAAAATTTTGATGTGTTTTATTTTTCACTCATATCCAACAATATTTATACCTATATTTCTTGGATAATTTTTTTTTTCAAATTATCTCTTTTGTTTTCATGTTTCGCCTTCACTCGAAAAAATGTATGAACCCCGTTCCTGCTTCTTCGCCCCCGCTCAACAGAATTCTTGACTCCGTCCGTGTTGACAAGACCATTGATTATGATTAATCCACACGTTTCATCTAAGAAAAGTTTCACATCTTATCCTTTGCCTATATATATATAAGTTAATAGTTGTTGTGGATGGGAATCTGGTTAGTTGGGTGGTTGGTGCTAGCAGAAATCAAAGAAAAAAAAAAAAAAAAAAAAAAAAAAAGGAGAGTGTAATTCATAGGATTCTCAAAGTGGAATGACAATGATTAAAAATGGTAAGCATGTTAGCTGGTATCTTCATTTTATGTTTGCTTTTGGGCATCATTATTAATGTTTTCTGCTCTGGTCAAACTTGTCGCCGCCCTCTTCTTCCGTGGGGGACCCGACTGAATATGAAATATGAAATATGAATCACGGATCGCCCCGTCTTCCACCCGAGTCTCTCATCTGTGACTGTCAGCCTTATTTCTTACCCGAATTTTTCTTTCTTTCTTTTCACATGCGTGTCTCCTTCCTGTCCAGTCGGCACCATGCATGCGTTCTTCTGAATTATTATTATTTTTTTAAATAAATTTCAGAAAATATAGACATTCTTAATAATATATTAGGGGTGTTTGGTAAATAACGGTTAGCTATTTAAGTTAATGGGTTTAATTAGTTAATTACATTAGCTGATTGTAAAAAAGTGTTTGATAAATTAGTTCTTAGTTGATAGTTAATTACATGCAAAATGACTTTCTCAAAAAACTGTTTTCAACAGCTTTTTGAATTTTAGCATTTTAAAGTAATAAGTTGTTACAAAAAACTAATTAATTAAGCATTCATATTGATTGTTTAACAAAATCAAACAATTAATAGTGGTCAAATAAATTAAAATTGACTAATAAGTTAACTATGTTACCAAACAAGGCTAACTATTGTCAACTCCGAACATTTTTTTTTGAATGCTACCGACTCTTTTACAATGTAGTATCTGTCCATAACTCAGGACATTTAATTGTGTATAATTTTGTCAATATTACATGTAAAAGTTGACTAAAATTGCACTAGTGTTTCAAATTTTATTATTAAGTTGCCACTTTAACTATAAAATATGATTCAACCTACCATCTTGTATATATTTGTAACTTGCTCTCTATCTCATTTTGGCATTGTTTGGTAAAATAATTAGTTTATAGGCTAATTTTAACTTATTTGACTATTATTAGCTGTTTGACTTGGTTAAAAAATCAATATAAGTGTTTGGTTAATTAGCTTTTTGTAACTCCAAAATGTCAAAATTCAAAAAGCTACTCAATTCAACATTTTCAATTAACTTTTTGAGAAAAGAAATTATATCAAACAGCTAACAGCTAATTTACCAAACACTTTTCTACAATCAGCTAATGTTATCAACTAGTTATACCCTCCAATTGACCCAATCAACTAACAGTTAACAGTTATCAGCTAACTGTCATTTACCAAACCGGACCATTATGTATTTGGTTCAGTTAATGAGATTTGAATAAAGATTAATTTATGTTAATATTAAATTTAGTATTAATATACAAAATTTTATATGTTTAGAAATTATATTAAAAATAATATTAAAATACAATTTATTTATTTTTTTGTAAATTGGGTGAAATTAAATTTTAGGTCAAGTTAGAAAAACGATGACCAAATAAACATAGAGAAATTTTGATATAAATAATATAGTATAGATGCTAAATTAATACTTCTGCATCTGATCAATTATATATCACTTAGACATTATTCCCTATTTTATTTTTTCTAAATAAAGAATTAAATGACAATTAGAGTTTTCGTTTAATTAATTTTTGGTGATGAAGGAAACCCATATCCGCTACCTAAAAATATGATATTGTGCACTGAATAAACTTACTAAACTATACTAAAAAGATCATGTGAAACGTATTTGATTGAGAATGTGTTGTCGCGAATCAAACTCGTAATTTTCAAGTATAAAAATCATATTTCACCCACTTGGGACTTTTGGAAAATTATTGATCATGCCTATGCTTGTTGAGTTAGATGCTAAGAAGATTTCTTTGGTAGGCTTTAAAAAGTAGTGCAACATATAAATTAAATTATTTCCCAATCACAAGTAGTGAGTCTACTAGTGGCCAAAGCTAGATTACCCCATGTAAAAAAACTATTAGGAAGAGCCCAAGAACCCACTTTTTTACTTTTCAAGTACAACAAATTAGTATTATATTTTATTTTAATTTAATATTTTGGATTTACTTTTTATTTTTCCCCTTCCTTTCATACTATAAGAACTTTAATTTAGGGAGATGAGAGGAATGGGCTGTTTAATTAATTAAAATAATTTTGATTAATTCATAATTAAATTAATTTTGCTGGTTATTAAATTACTTTGATTTGGTTAATGGTTTTAAATTTTTGAAAAATTTTAGTTATGAGATAATTAAGTTAAAAATACAAAATCTACCAAATTGATTGAATTAACCAAATTAATAAAAATAAAAATATATAATATATTTTTATGCATAAAGAATATGTTATATACAATAAATGTTTGTTTAATTTAGTTAATTCTTCAAAATACGGTTCATTTTAGTTAATTCAATAAATTGTATTTTGGTTTGGTGAATGGTTTTACACTTTTACTAAAATAAAAACTTTAATTTGGTCAACTTGGTTTGAAATTAACCAATTAGTTGAATGACCACCCCTACTATTGTTATTGTAATTACCTAAATTGTTTTTAGAAAAAGAATTTAGAAAAATCACATTTCTTATTCCTCGGACGTTTATAAGTTATGAATGTAGTATTTTTCTTTAATTATTTACCTTATTAGAACTAGTATTACGACTCTCTCTGTATTTGAGTCACATCATGACTCCCTTTCTTTTTTTGACCCACCGTCGAACACAGTGACTAATCCCCTCACTGAATTGTAGGCACTTCTTTTGAGTGGGATAGCTGGCATGGAAATTTAAGGCCGCTTCATCATTCCCAAAGACAAGGATCGAACCCTTGACCTTGGGTTAAGGATGGATGAGTCCCTTCCACTCAACCACACCCTCCAGGTTATTATAACTCCATATCCTAGTCTTCTTATGATTCTCTCTTGTATATATTCCCTCAATTTGTACAGTTGTAATTACTGTTTATCTAATACAGTTTATACAGTTCTCATCTGGTATCAGTAGTCTCAAGTTCCTTTCCTATTTTTTCTCAATGGAACCCAGGGCAGTAATATTGATGGATTTGCTAACTCCTTTGAGCGGACCGTTTCGGATGTTTCCGTTACTACCTCCAGTTCTATGGCTGTCAATTCGCTTTCTACTGCCCATAACTTTATCAGTATTAATCTTACCCACAAAATTTCTTGTTTTGGAGGACACAAGTAGTTCTCTTTTTAGAGGGACACGGGCTCATGGGGTTTATTAATGGGACTAACCCATGCCCGCCAGCCTTCCTGCCAGTTGTCGCCGACATCAAACCACAACCAAACCCGGCCCATGCCGTGTGGTATCGCCACGACAAAGCATTGATGCCAGTACTGATTTCATCACTCTCCGAAGAAGTCATGCACCTCGCCATTGGACGTCGTACATCACGGGAGGTTTGGTTGTCCATAGAGCAGTCTCTAGCTTCTTCGTCTCGTGCCCGGTCACTTAATTTCCTCGACCAACTTCAGTCTCTCAGGCAGGGTGACTCCTCTATTGCTGATTATATTGGCCGTGCACGTGTTGTTACGAAAGACCTGGCCTTGGCCGGTCGAAAAGTTGGTTTGGACGAGATGAACTTGTATGTCTTTCGTGGGTTACAACCAGAGTATCAAAACCTAACTACATCACGTTGGGTTTGCGGGCAGCCCGTCACTCTTACAAAGCTCATAGAATTTCTCGGAGATCAGGAATTCATTTGAGGAACCGCCAACGATGGAGCGTCGGCGGCCTTCACTGCCCAATGTGGCGGGCGGAATCGCCGCGGCGGTCACGGCAGCAATCGAGGTGGCGGCGGCCGATTGCAAGGAGGACGTGGTGGACGTGGCCGTAGCGGTAACAATGGTGGTCAAAATAAGTGTCAGATTTGTGGGCGCAATAGCCACACAGCCCTTGCATGTTAAAATTGTTTTGATAATCAAAGATATCATCCTCCTCATGCCAATCTGACATATCAAGATAATGGTTCAGACACTTGTTGTTCTCAAGTATGGATTCTAGACACGGGAGCAACCAGACATCGCAGCCCTATCCACGTCTGAGGAGTATGTTGGTAATGACATGTTGCGTGTTGGTGATGGTAAGGGTTTATCTATTAGTCATGTTGGTCATGCTTCCTTTAATACCCCATCTAGGTCTTTTTAATTATCGAATATCCTTCATGTTCCCAGTTTGTCTACATCTTTATTATCTGTTCAAAAATTTGCTTCAGATAATAAGGTGTTTTGTTTTTAGTTTCACCACTCTTTTTTTTTGTTGTGAAAGATATCAATTTCAAGGAAATTCTGCTACGGGGTAATAGCTCTAGGGTTCTATACAAGCTTCTTATCACTAGTTCGTCTCCTTCAGCTTTTCTTTCCGCTCGCACATCCGAGTTAGTGTGGCATGATCGCTTAGGACATCCACATTCTTGAGTCTTACATCGTATTCTTCAGTCTTGTTCGGTTAGTAGGTCTAGAATGCGTGTCAGTTAGGGAAATCGGCCCGATTCCCACTGCCACATGTTGAGTCATCTAGTTCCAATATTCTTGATTTAATATACACAGATATTTGGGGTTCAGCTCCTTTGTTATCTACTGATGGCTATAGTTACTTTGTTATTTTCTTGGATGATCACTCCCGTTACACTTGGTATTATCCCATGAAATTAAAATTTGATCTTTATGCCATCTTTGAAAAATTTTGTACTATGGTTGAGTGTTCCTTCAATAGAAAAATTAAATCCATTCAATCTAACCTAGGAGCTGAATACAAAAAATGACCCATTTCTTTTTTCAGTTAGGAATCACTCATAGACAGTCTTGTGCCTACACTCATGAACAAAATGGTCGTGTGGAAAGAAAACATAGACATGTAGTTGAAATGGGTCTAACCCTCATGGCTCGTGCCTCTGTTCCATATAAATTATGGGATTTTACTTTTGAGATTGTTGTGTATTTAATTAACAAGATGCCATCTGCTGTGTTAAATAACTCTAGTCTTCACTTACTCCTGTATAAATCCCATCCATCCTACTATTTTCTTCGTGTCTTCGGGTGTCTATGTTATCTCTATTTACGGTAATTGTCATAAAATGTCCTACAGGTCTTCTCTATGTGTCTTTCTAGGTTATCTTGAGTCATTCCGAGGTTATAAGTGCATTAACTTATAGACTAATAAGGTTTATGTGTAGACATGTGCGGTTTGATGATGCTATTTTTCCCTTTGCTACTAAGAATGTTTTGCAGCCCCCATAGGCTCCTCAAATCACTCCATGGGCAGAATCCATCCTACAGCATAGTCTGCCGGCGCCTCCGCAAGAAGAATTGGCGGGAGGGGAGCTCCCACCAGACTTGGTCGCAGGTACTATTGGGCAACAGATTGATGCATCAACTACTGTCGTCGCTCGACCCAGGGGGCGTCCGCGAAGAAAGACCGTAAAATCTACCACTCAGACACACACTGTGGAGACTCGCAGTAGATCTCAGGCACCACCCACAGCTTTGAGTGCTTAGGTCTGTCCCGCAGATCCTACTTGTTACACTCAGATAGTAAAATAACCAGAGTGGCGTGAGGCTATGAACCAGGAATTCAATGCTCTTCTACAAAATCAAACGTGGTGTCTTATACCCTTTTGGGCATATATGAATGTTATCGGATGTAAGTGGGTATTCCGCACTAAACGAAACACAGATGGTTCTATTGAGAGACACAAGGCAAGAATAGTAGCAAAAGGATTTCAAACAGGTGCCTGGATAAGATTTCTTTGATGCGTTCAGCACAGTGGTAAAACCCACTACTGTTAGGTTGCTTCTTTCCTTGGCTTTATCTTCTGGTTGGGTTATTACGCAACTTGATGTTCATAATGCTTTTTTAATTGGATATCTGTTTGAAACTGATTATATGAAACAACCACCTAGTTATATTGATACTCAATATCCCAATCATGTTTGCTTGTTTAAGCGTTCTTTGTATGGCGTAAAACAGGCTCCTAGAGCTTGGTTTAACCGTTTACATATGTTTTTACTCTCTGTTGGGTTTCAAGCATAAAGAACGGATGTGTTTCTATTCTACTACTCATAGGACTCTGCTTATGTGTATTTTTTTGTATATGTTGATGATATACTTGTGATGGGAAGTGATCAGGGTCTTGTGACTCGTTTGATAAAAGAGTTATCTGCTGCTTATAAGATTATGGATCTTGGTGAATCTGGTTTCTTTCTTGGGATTGAAATAATTAAATGTGATAATGGTATTTTACTTTCACAACAGATATATATGAATGATATTTTGAAACGTGCTGGAACGGCAGAAGTAAAGCATTGTCTACTCCTATATCTGTTTCGAAATCTATACCCTTTAGTGCAGGTTTATATGAGGATCCTACATAGTACATAAGTATGGTAGGAGCACTATAGTATCTAACTATCACACGCCCGGATCTATCATTCGTAGTCAATCAATTGTGTCAACACATGCATGCTCATACAGTATCACATTGGGTGCATCTAAAGCGAGTCTTGAGGTATGTAAAGGGAACAGTTAATTTTGGTTTACGTATAAGAAAGTCAGCATCAAGAGAACTTGCATTTTCTGATTCTGACTGGGTTGGTTGTCCTGAGGACCATAAATCCACGAGTGGTTTTGCTGTGTTTCATGGATCCAACCTTATCTCTTGGGTTTGTACGAAACAAAAAACTGTTGCTAGATCTTCTACTGAGGCAGAATACAAAGCTTTAGCAGATGTCTGTGCCGAATTACGTGGATAGTCTCCTTGCTACGTGAGATTAAAGGGTCAGGTATATCTGTTTCAAAATTATGGTGTGACAATCTTGGTGCTACTTATATATGTAAATTCCATCTTCCATGCTCGTACCAAGCACGTGGAAATTGATTATCACTTCGTTCGAGATAAACTTGCTTATGGAGACATTCAAGTTAATTTTATCTCCACAAAAGATCAATTTGCAGACATATTTACTAAAGCTTTACCTAGTCCTAGATTTTCTTTTCTTAGAGATAAGTTACATGTTACTAGTATACCATGTACTTGAGGGGGAGTATTAGGACTCTTTGTATTTGAGTCACATTATGACTCCATATCCTAGTCTTTTTATGATTCTCTCTTGTATATATTCCCTCAATCTGTACAAGTGTAATTATTGTTTATCTAATACAATTTATACAGTTCTCATCGACCTAACTGCAAATCTGACTATATTTACAACTAGATTGACAATTGAAAATTAGATTTGCAGTTAGATTACCAATTGAAGAATATAATTATATTTACAACAATTGAAAGATATAAACTATATTTATAACTTGCAAATAATTAAAGAACCAAAATCATAATTGTGACTTAAAAAAAAAAAAGAAAAAAAAGAAGAGTAAAAGACAATTTTGGTCCTCCATAAAAAAATCAGACAATTTGTGGACACTCTTATTGTGACGAGGACAATTTTAGTCATCCGTCACTCTTCCCGTTAGATGCCCTGTTTGAGAAGGGGTATTTACGTCTTTTCATCATACCTCCTTCTTCTTCATCATCTGCTCTGCTTCTTTACATACGCCAGTCACCTACTGCCGGAAAACCAAGGTCCAAGGTCATCGGAGATGCAAAAAGTTGAAGCTAAAAACCTGGTCTACTTCTAAAGACAAGAATTTTTTGATAAATTTGGATTAGCAAACCTTGTATGAAAAGTTAAGCATGGTCAAACCAAGCCCAACCCTTTCAAAATCAATTCCACTATTCTTTAGATTCTTCCCCCATGCTTGGGCAATGCAACCCCTTCTAGGGACCTCCGGATGATTCTAGCTGCCGCCATGGATATCGGCAATGAGGGAACTTTTGAGAATTTATCTCTTAATCGTGGGTCGTCTAATCTGTGCTTCTATCATGCCTTAACCCTTGTCCACCAAGGGCTAAGTCGGTCCCCCAGGCTACTAATCACAGTTCCCCTCTCCATGCTGCAAACTTATCACGGTCACCGTTGGTGTACATCAGCACCGCCACCACTCCATGCGATGTAGATTAAAAAGCCGCAGATTAATCTTTCTAAAACACTCATATTCAATCATGCAAATCTCATAAATATCCTCAGAATTGCAAATAAAAACAACCATACCAACCAAAATTCTGAAAAACTCATCAAGGATTAAAACAATTTAACCAAAATATGGCAACAAATCAAACTAAAACTAACAGAAATATGCAGATTGAAGAGGTAGTTACAGGAAATACTGGGTTTGAAAAGCCACCATCTTTAGTGTAATAGACCAGGAATACGAAACCCATGGCCAAACCCGGAGGCTCCGTCACCCTACAAGCAACCGGCAGGTTTTCAGCTTCAACTTTTTGCATCTCCGATGGCCTTGGAAGTTGGTTTTCCGGTAGTGGATGTCTAGCGTAAGTGAAGAAGCAGAGCAGTTGATGATGAAGAAGGATGTATGATGAAAAGACGCAAATATCCCTTCTCAAACGGGACATCTAACGAGAATAGTGACGGAGGACCAAAAATGTCATCGTCAAGAGTGTCCACAAATTGTCTGATTTTTTTATGGAGGATCAAAATTATCCGTGCCACTATAAGTCTATGACCAAAAATGTCTTTTATTCAAAAAAAAAAAAAATTACACTTTTTGTTCTTCGCGTTTATTGAACTACAGTAAATTTCATCTCTTGTTAATTATGATTGTATTATTATTCATTAACATTTTTTAA